TAACCATGAACTAAAATTGTTTGAAATACTCTGAAAGTAAAGAAGGATGCATGAGCATGCCTAGAGGAAATCCTCCCATGGTAGAAATCCTCCTCTGTTCTCACGATGCCTCCTCCACGTGTATAGTCAGAGGATGGCCTGACACGAACCCTGCAAGGTTGCTAAGGTCAACACATATACCAAATTTTGGTAAAACTTTTTCAAGATAAAAAACAAAAGCTGTGAATGGAACATTTTTTTGCTGCATCTCAACAGATGACCCAGCTCAGCCCTGGGATGTGAACTATCTATTTCAGAGACCACTGTTCTAAGGAGTAGGAAATCAGAAAAGAGTTTTAAACAAAGAAGTGATGGAGGGATGAGGTGATATTTACATTTAGAAGGAGCCTCTGGTAGCTGTGTAGAACATGGTCAGGAGGAAGGTGAGGCTGAGGCATGACGGTGGCCTGAACTAGGGGACTAGCAAGGAGGAAACAACAAAAATTTTATTCACAGGAGGATTAGCAAAAGGAAACAATAAAAATTTTAGTTGGAAATGGAATGTGTGAAGTGCAAAATCAATCATTTATTCTAAGTTTATACACTATTGAGTAGGAAAAAATGCTGGTGTCATTCCCTAAGAGAGAGGTTACATAACAAGGTTTGGGAAGAAGGTTTATTAGAGCTCATAAAAGGACAGATAAAAGGCTGAGTGTTCAGAGAAGGAAAAGAATCCTTCCAGTTATTAGGGAACCCAAGAAGGCTTCATGGAAGAGGTGGCATTTGAATGGGCAGGAGTAGAATTTATGGAGTAAGGAAGACTAGAGCTGCTGCCAGGGACCAAGGATGCCCACCCTGGACTTAAGTACGTGTCTCTCCATTCACCTGTGCCAACAGGTTTGTGCGATCAAGGACGAAGCATGATGTTGACATGCGGATCGGAATCCACTCGGGGTCAGTGCTATGTGGCGTGTTGGGCCTGAGGAAGTGGCAGTTTGATGTCTGGTCTTGGGATGTGGACATTGCGAACAAACTTGAATCTGGAGGAATCCCCGGGTAAGCCAAAGCAAAGCTCTTTTCTTGCTTTACTCTTGTGTTTTGATCAGTTTGTGACAGTCGGTTTCCTGTGTATAGAAGTCAGAGTTATAGATCCAAGAAGCAATTATTTGAAAGGAGACCAGACTTTAAAATGTCATATATATTTTGGCCCCAAAACTCTAGTAAAATTTATCAGAAACAATTAAAATGGTGGGTCAACCCTGAGCTGTTTGGGTCCCTGCCCCAGATAGCATTGGTCCCTAGACTTAGCTGCACATTGGAATCACCAGAAGAGCATTTTCAAAATACTGCTGTCCAAAAAGAATACTGGTGCCCAGACCCCATGCTGATTCATTTAAATCAGAATCTGAGAAGAATCTATGTTAAGTTTTTAAATCAATTCTAATAGGCAGCCAGGGTTACAACCTACTGACTTGCTATATATGACCATGGGCTCAATTCAGGAAATCCAGGACCTTCCTTGAAAACTCAGCTCTCCAAGTCTGGCTGGCAAAACTGGCTGGTATGGAATTCTCAAAGGTGCTAGTGGCCTGGAAAGGCCAATTGAGCCTTAAAAAGTGGCATTAAGATTCTGTTTACACAGATTGGACCTAATAGGATCTCAAATGTATGTAAGCCAGTGAGTTGTACTGACTTTCTGCAGCCTCTCTTCCTGAGAGATGCTAGTTGCTAGGTGGAAAGGCAGATGAACGGATAGATAGACAGACAGACAGACAGACAGACAGACAGATAGATAGATAGACAGACAGACAGACAGACA